AGATACCTCTGTATGTGTGAGGATTTTGAGGGTACCATTTTTGTTTCCATAGTGCAGTAATTTGAAATAAATCCCTCTTTTTGGGGGGATTTGTTTCTGATTCAAGACTTCCTTCATGCGATTGCGAAACTTGTTATCAATTTTGGAGAAAAGCTAAACTATTTCAGCCTCAAATCAAGTGATGCTTGTTTAGTCCTTAATAGCTTATTAACTTCCTCATCGGTAGATTCATTATTGTTTATATCTGGATGTATATTGGTATATGACCTATTTCTGCAGGCATCTTTAATTTATTGTCATCAGGATTGAAATGTGACTCAAAGTTTCTGTTTGAATTTCGGGGATAAGGAGTTGTCATTATTTACACTATTTACATGCAGACTATTGCCTGCATCTTTGTTGTTGTTATCACAATGTCCTTCATCCAGGTAATGTACAGGAATTCTGAAATGAACCCTTTATTTAATCTACTACTCAACTACTGAGCAGTACTACAACTAAGAACTAAATGAGATATCCCTAAAAATTAGCAGTGGAATGAAAAAGAGTTTATCCCTCAACCACCACCAGAATAAATAGTATTTTTTTTTTTATTCCTTTCAATTACCATCTTGATCAACTTGTAAATGAGTGACTCAGTTGCAGGTCAGAAGGTACTGTTGATCTGCTGTTTCAGTGATCTATATTACAATGTTCCTTTAAGAATTTCCTGTTACAGTTTCTCATATTTCAAGATGAAACCAAATATGTAATGCATTGTAGAGTAATAGAAATCTTTTCTCATAAATCATTGATAATAAGTTCACTTCTTATTTGATGTGAAGTTGAGCTGTTTTAGTTATAATAAAATCTTTGTTTTAGAATTCAAATGTTTTCTTTTATTTTTTGCATATGTAATATTAAATGACAGAAAAGTCCAACAAACTGACAAACCTGACAAGTCCCAAACTCATTGAAATTCATATTCTAGCCAAAATGTTATCCAATTCTTTGTTGAGAACTGGGCTGTTTAAAAACACAAAAAAAGCCTGAAAAACAAAACTTGATTTATTTTTCAAATTGTTTAGTCATTCTGTTCAGAGAGAAAATTTGGTTCTAAATGTGGAACAGCTCTAATGGATCAATCAGTCAATAATGGTCTGCTTTAAAAAATGTGTTAGCAGAGAAATACCAATAAATATTGACAATCGGTTGTTTAGATTTTACTAAAATTCTTTAAATCATAGTCACTTTCTGTCCATTGTTTATATGGAATCTGACAAAATTTATTTGACTGACTGGAATGTGCCTTTAGCCTTTATGTTGCTTAGAGTCAGTTAATATGACTAATATTCAAGTTATTTGTGAATTATATAGTTAAGAGCAGAATACCTGTCAAAAATGATAGGATTATGAATTAGTACTTTTGTATAGGATCAGTGTAGTATCTGTACAACCTGCCTAGGCAGAAAGTGTCAGTCTCTGGCATTTCTGCCTAGGATTAGAGTGTAGATTCAGTGAAAAGTATTATATATTTTATATATATATATATGCAAATTTCATTAAATATGACAGATAAAGTGCTTTTATTAAATTTTTTATATAATTTCTCATGAGATCTAATACTTCTTCCTTTTCAATAGATAAATTTTATAAAAACTGTCCAAATGTTGTTATTTTCTGAGTACTTTCAGTTATACATTTAGCCATTTTCAATAAATAAATAAACACATACATACAACAATGTATTTCTAGTTAACAGTTAATATATTTCATCCTTGGAAATGGTTTAATGTATAGATGAAAGTGCTGGGAAAAAAGAACTTGGATAGTTCTTATATATTTTATCATCTGAAAAGAAAAAAAATTATAAGATTACATGAGAAATTATGTAAAAAAAAACTTAATCAAAGCACCTGGTCTCTCATATTTAATGAAACTTGCATGAAAGAAGGATTGCTGCCTACATATACAATATATATACAGACACACACACACACACACACGCTTTATTTAATAAGTAAAATACCTACTAAGGGGTATAAATATGGACATTCGGGAGACAAAAAGTGCTCAACATTTTATAGTAGAACAAATATATACAAAATGTTATCTCCATTGGTTGGCAAACCTGGAAGCTTCATGGTTACACATGAAACTTTAAGCAGTAGACAACCAATGGAGACAGCTTTTGTGTGTGTGTGTGTGTGTGTGTGTGTGCATATATATCAAAGAAATGAAATAACAAGAGGAAAACCTCTTATGCCATTGTCTTTTGTTTTTTGAGGAAATGTAGAAATTTATTGAGAAACCTGTCTTTATATATACAGAAAAAAGTATAGTTGAGAGAGATAACATTATGTATTCAAATTTGAATTAGAGAACATTCCAAAATATTTGAAAATCTTTTGATGTTATTAAAAGAAAATGAAAACTATGGAGTATTCTAAGTGATGTAAATCATCATATATTGCTAAAGGAAAGTGAATAAAAGTTGTAGTTGTTTTTAAAAATAGCTGTGTGCTAACCATCTACCTTTAATTTTTTTCTAATTTTATGGTTCTATATAAATATGTTGGCTTGTGAAGGAAACATTTATTTTAAGAAAGAAGATATTTGAAAAAATGTAGGGCATATATTTATGTTTAGGCTAATTTCTATTACTACACTTTCAAGAACTTTCATGTTATTTTCTCTCTTAACAAGTTCTGAATCATTTAGAACAAAATTGTGGTAGTAATTATTATCTGGGAAATCTTTTTGTATTCCCATATATATATATATATATATATATATATATAAAAGAAGTAATGGATTTTTTATTTATTAATTCAACACATTTTATCACTTTATATGTTATTTTTAGTGGATACTAATATTTGAGCAGACCTGCTTATTTATTAAACAGTATATTTATTTTCATCTACTGGCTTGAATATTCAAGAAATCTTATTAAAGAAAAATAGGGACTCTCCTGCAGGATTCAAACCTCTGTCCCTCTGTGCAGAGGAAAACTGTCATTAGATCCAATATGCCTGAATTGACTTGGTCAGAAAGAAACTCTGCCAATCAAGCAAGGTCTGAACAGTATCTTTAAGCAAAATCCTTCCCACCATAGAAATTATCCTATCTTCTCAGTTTCGTATCCAAATGTAAACTAAACCATTTTCTAAAGAACTGTATATATGTACACACTAACATAACATAAAATAGTAAAAAAAAATAATTTTGGGTTAAAAAAATTGATTAATTCTTCAGATTACTTTGTTTATGTTTTGGATGTGAAAACAAAGTTATCAAATGTAGACTTTAAAAGTTTCATCATGAAGAGATGTTGGTAAATTTTAATAATTTACTGGAGTAATGGTGTACCTTTTTAGGCCTAGAAAATCTTTCTCTTCAGAATCCATCTTGCACATTTACAAATCTACCATTTATCCATGCATATGAATACTGTTGCCATATCTAGTCAAGTGCCCCTGTTGTACATCTAGAGATTCTTGACAAAATCCATAGAAGGATCTGTAATACAATTGATCCTGACCAGGTATTCACCAATGTAACATGGCTTCCCTCTGTCTTTTCTACAAATATTTTCATGGCAATTGCTCTGATGAGATTTTTTCCCTGATGCCCCAAATACATGAATTTAAACATGTTAGATTGGCATCTAGACCCCACACTTTTACTGATGAAATTGCTAAATACAGCCGTCTCTTCTACTCCAACAGTTTTTTTTCTTGCATTCCTACCTCTGGAAGTCTTTTCCATTTCCTTGCTTCCCTGATAACTACAATCTTCTTGAATCCTGGTCATATTTTGTCCATTTTTCAATCTTCCCTATTCTCAGTCTTCTCTTTCACTCTCATTCCCCTTAATCCCTTGTGTACTAGTGGCATTACCACCTTGCTCAGGGTGAAATGATTAAAAAAATAAAAATTTATAGGCAAAACCGCATAGATGCAGGTTGGGATTTCTTTTTAGCTAATAAGATTAGGCCACTTCTCATCTGACTTAATTCTGTCCTTTTTTTGTCTTGAAGCCAGAATGCTTTGATCACTCCTCTGTATTCCCTTTTGTGTGTTGATGCTATTTTTAGTTTGTGAACTTTCTGCCATATAACTGTTGCTTTGCCTTATTACTGTTTAGTTTGCCTTGCATATATTTTTTTGCCCTGTTCTTTTTCTTTTCTTTCTCTTGTTATTGTTTTTTGCAAACTTTGTGAATTCTGTTTGTTGGTCAGTTCTGCCAGTTACATTTAACCATGGCCCCATACTCTAAACAACTGAAAAAGTAGAACTAGATTTTGAACCCTGAGACTTTCTCTTCGTTCTACTGTGCTTTGTGCTCTTCCATTATTAATTCTATTGTAATTAACAAAAAAGAAACATTACTTTTTGACCCATCCTCAGATATATAGCATTTTATATATGTACAAAGGATGCTCAAATTATAAGGTATAAATGATAGGTATAAATAAAGCTGAATTAAACTACTGAAAGCTGTGAACACAAAACAACAGAGTGCATACAACACTTATAACAGCCAGAATACCCTTAATATTGAATGCTTTTGCATGTGTAATGTCATAACAAAAATGATTGCTAGCATAGATCACAAACATAGAAGTGTAATGAAATTTTTGTATGCCAAGGGAAAAACTTCTAAAAAAATTCAGTGTTAACTCATTGCTGTTTATGGTGAATATAATGAACAACAAGCAAGTATCAGTCTGTTTTTTTTTTATTGATTGATTCGTTTTCTATGGCTTATCAACCCATTGCAGATTATTTAAAGCCAAGAAATATTTTTAGATTGTAAGAATTTTTTTGAGAAAATAATGGTTTAGTAATATAAGTTTTACTAATTAACTCATAGCTGGAGGGAGAAGAGATGGATTTATATCTTTCTCAAAGGCATTTGTGTATAAGTGGATAAAACAAATTCAACTGTAATTGTAATTCAGCTCTCTGATTAACAATTCTGAGACATCATTCTTTATACCAATCTACACATCCAAGATTACAGCACATGGTATTCCCAAGTGGTCACCCATCTAGGTAAAGACCAGGCTCATCATTGTTTAACTTCAGCAATTGTATGGGAACCAATGTTTCAACATGATGTGGTCATAAGCCTGTATCCATTTGGTGTAGTGTATTTGAAGTGGGATGTACAAATTTTGTAGAATAGGCCTCATGTAGGGTGTTTCTTTTCATCAAAAATGGAAGATAAACATTGCATGCAATCAAGCTTTGATTTACAATGATAGAAGATGAAAACTTATGATATAGTTGTCATACTTGATTTTCCTGTTGCTAGTTCAAGGAAGTATCTACAAAAGTAGCTATATTAGAAGATGCCATCTTGTTGGGTTCTAAAACAACTGATTGAAGAAACCCATTTCCAGTGCATGGTAATTTTTTTTCAACTTTTGGAATGGCATTGGAGAGCTAATAGGGATGTTCTGGAGCACATGATGACAGGTGACGGAACTTGAGTACATCATAGTTATTTCAGAAGCAAAGGTTGATTCCATGTACTAAAGTTCCATCACCTGTCATCATGTTTGCTCTAGAGGCAAAGGTTGATTCCATGACCTGGAAGCATCTATTGTCACTGAACCCCAAAAATTCAACAACTGACAGCAACTGTGTCCTGGAAATGCCAAATGTGTGTTGCTCATAGATTCCATACTCTTCCTTACTGTGAAACACTGAACAAACTGAGGGAATCTGTCAAATGAGACTAAAACATTTGCAATAAGATTTTATCCTGTTGTAAAACAATACCACCCAACACAAAGCCAAACTGACAAAAGAGTTTCTCTAGCTATTATTCATAAACCAATTTTTTTCCTTGGCCCATATGTATAAGTATGCATATAGCACTCTCCATGTTAAAATGACCTTATGTCACATCCTAATCTTAGTGGGCCGGCCAGGTAAATATAAATGACACTGTCATTACAGAGGTGATAGTGTCAGTTGCTTGATGCCACCTTCTTCAAGAAGGGTATTTATATTTTCATATACAAATGTGATAAATGCACCAATCTCAGTGGTGTCTATAGGGATTATATGCAGTGTTTTATTTGCCTAATAATTAATATGTTAGGATATGTGGTATGACATAATGGATAACAGCTCAGCATGAGAACTTGGAGAGCTGAGTTCAAATTCCAGTTGGGTTCATTATATTCACTTAGATACAATTACCCTTGGGAAAGCTAGGAATCCATCTCTTTTCCACTAAGTTACAGGTTGAGTAGTAGGATAGATTGTTTGGCAACTAGTACACCACAGAAAGAAATGGCATCCTGCTGTGGGAAAATCTTCTGCCTAGTCTTTGATCTAGACAGTCATGAATTGAAAGAGACGTGCTCACCCAAGCGTGTATCATGTATGGCACTTAATTGTCTAATATGTTGGATTAGTAAATATTTGTACCTTTTTTCTGAATATATCTTGTACATTACAGTTATTTCTTTTCTTTGTAAAATTTTAAAAAATTTGTATATAATACTGCTTGTCTGTCCCAGATATATATATATATATATATATATATATATATATATATATATATATATATTTTTAATTTTTCAATATATGCACTTTGATCATAAGTAGTCCTGATTCCCTTGAGTAATAGTTTTTTGCAATACTTGTGGAATAGAAAATGAAATTCAGATTTATTCTTGGTATTTGGCTTGTGACTCTCAGTATCACAGTTCTTGTTAGGGATCCACCTCCATCCTCATCAGCATCATTTCATAAAGAAAATTATTTTCAGACACTGATTTGGGTCTCATTAAAATGTTTTAAATAAATTGCTTTCTTTTTCAGATTTTCTCTGATGTTTTTTTGGTTTTCTTTAATTTTTGTACCTTTCCCAATGTAAGAGACTTGAAGAGTAGAAATGATGCCAGAACCATTTTTCTTTTCTTCATGTACTTGTAAAAGAAAGAAAAAAATTCAAGTCTTATTGAATTGCACTGAGCTCTTTTTAAAAAACAACTATAATTTTTGTTTTGATTTTTTTTCTATAATTCAGTGATTATTGTATGTTACTATGCTGTATTATAAAGTTTAAATTTTTATTTTCTTTCACTGCCAATTGCTTTTTTGTGTGTGTTACAACTTTGTCAGTGGTAAAAATCAATTATTGTTCAATTATACAGAATGAAATTAAAGTTTTAATAGGGGAATAGGATTTATCCAAGACAGGATGTCCTCCAATTCATTAACATTATAGCTATAATCTTTCTTTTGTTTATTATAAACCTTCCATTCACTATATAGTAGATGGTGTTAGATTACTTTATGATAATATCATATCTCACCATATCTCTAAATGGCCTTGTATATGGGTTGAAATAGAAAGAAGAGAGAATTAATATGAACAAAATAAATTTTTATTTAAGACAATATCTAAAGAATTAATGTATATTATTTTTTAATTCAACATATTTTTATTATTTCAAACATTATTTTTAGTGGCTCACCAGAATCTTACATATTTATAAGACTACCATTCATCCTTGCTTTTGAATATTGTTTTCACATCTGGTTCAGTGCTGCTGGTTCTATTTAGAGATTCTTGATGAAATCCCAAAAAAGAATCTGCAATGTCATTAGTCCTGACCTGGCATCTCAGTAATGTGGTTTCTTCTCTGCCTTTGTATAAATTTCATGGTAATTGTTCTGATGAACTTTCCTATATATATATATATATATATATATATATATATATATAGATAACGTGTGTGTGTGAAAAATTCAGATAGAGGGCATATCTGTGAAAGGACAATATGAATAAAGACAAAAGGAAAACTTATCTTAGCTGATGCATTTCATCCTCTGAGGAACATTTGCCTTGATAAAGTCTCTCAGAGGATGAAATGCATTGGCTAAGATAAGTTTTCCTTTTGTCTTTACTCACACATACACACATGGTGTGATGGATATTACACAAAAATTAAAATAACACTGACATCTCATTAGATAAATTTACCAAAATTACACAATATCATGAAAGACTAAAGAGTAAATTTAGTGAATAAAATCACCATCAGCTTCAACCATGGCCTCCTGATGGCTTTGGAATCTTCTGCAACTTTTCTGGATGATCTCCCTGTTTAAGTTGGTGAATATTGCCATAACCCTTGCCTTTAGTTCTTCTTTGATGAGTTTTGTTGATCTCTCATTGAACTGCACCCCACACATAATAATCAAAGAGTTTGCAGTCTGGGGGGTTAGGTGGCCAGATGTAACGGGTGATGTGGTGTGGTCACAGATATTGTCTGACAACCATGACTGAGTTCTCCTGCTTGTGTGGCATGGTGCAGAATCCTGTTGTCAGAGATAAGGTCTTCCAGAAGCCATTCCCTTAACCCAAGGCAGCACTACCTCCTCAAAGCATGATGTAAGCTAACAATTTGGAAGTTCTTTTCTTAATCGAATGATCAGATTTTTCCCAGTTGCCGTAACTTCGTAATCACCATTAGACCCATTCAACTCTTTCCAGATCTACAGCACTGTCTTCAGATTGATATCCAAACACTCTAAATTGTTCATATTAGAGCTTCTGGTGCGAATCTCAAGCAGTATAACATACCGTTTCCATAATTCTGGCAGTGTGAATTGGATCATGGTGCTTATCTTCTCACAGATGGTGGCCAAGTAACCCTACAGTGTGCAATGGACAAAAACAATGTGCATGTGCAAAAATAAAAATATAAAGTGGCAACAATTTACTGATCACACTGTGTGTGTGTGTGTGTGTGTGTGTGTATATATATATATATATATATATATATATATATATATATATATATAATTGTGTATTTGGGCAACAATCCTTCTTTTATACAAGTTTTATTAAAAATGATTTACAAAGTATTTTGGTACCTAATCAATCATTTTTAATGAAACTTATAAAAGAGGGATTGTTACCCAAATACACAATTATTAAATTATATCACCTAGCAGCCAACTAGTAAAATACAATTTCAGCTTAACTTTGTCAGTCATTTTTAATTAAACTTATGTGTGTGTATGCATATATATATATATATATATATATATATATGAGCATGTATGTATTCAGATGTCATAGTCACTTGTGCAATTTAATGAAAAGAGTATATATATATTACTCTGTGTATTTCATGATGACAGCAGCATCAGAGAATTGATAAAATCTATTCTGATTTAATTCAGTTGTCCATCTCCTTGTATATGTATGCCTGGCAAAAGGAAAAGATTCATTTAGAAGTTGCCGCTTGACTTCTGATTGGTCCACAAGCCATGATGTCATATCCTGGTTGGAAACAGATCTTGTTTCTGATTAGCTCACCAGGTTATGATGTTCATATCCCTTTGGGACCATTTCTGATTAGCTCGCTAGACCATGATGTCATATTCTTTTGGGACCATTTCTGATTGCTTCATGGAAATATAACTTCATGGACTAGCAATTCTGAATTTTTATCTATTTTTAGAGATGGTGAAACTTGTGTTGCTTTGTTATTTTTACCATCACTGCAACTATATACAAGAGGTTGTCAATATTTTCATTATGCAAAGACTGAGAGATGTTCTTTATGCTGTTTTTTTGTGTCAAACTCCGATCTTGTTCTTACATGAACAAGATCCAAAAGAATCTATCACAGCAAATATAATAAAATTCAAAGGAAAAATCATTTGTTCTCCTCAACAATTTTTTCAATCTGCCGATAGAAACAGTAGAAATAACTGAGCAATTTCCTCTTGTGAATTCAGCTAACTACTGGGCTTTTAAACTAGATATATGTCAAAGTAGAATTATATTAAAAACCAGTATGCAAATATATTTTAAAATGATTCAAATGAACATACTAAGAAGATAAGAATTTATAAAATTGAAAATTCAAATCATAAATAAAAGAAATTATATGATGGATTATATTATTCAAATTTTCATTATTGCAGAAAACAATTCAGAAGTGAACCTTCATGATCATCTAATGTAGTTTCTTTTTATTTTATTCATTAAAAAAAACACATTAAACTTGGACCTTCATGCCTGCAAGAAAATGATGTGTCAAAAGATGTTTTTTCTCTTGGCACTGCTATTATTTTAACTACCTTCACT